AAGATACGAAGAAAAAACTAATGTGATCGGTATTGTGTAAATAATGAGGAAATGTCTAGCGATGTTGATTCACTCCCAGCGGTTTCGTACTTTGACATTGTTAATTATTTTATCAACTCTAAAAGTGCTTACACAATGGACGAGTTAAATGCTGTTAAATCTATGGACTCATTTAACCACTGTTACAATGGCTGGGTGAAAGATGTACGCACTTTGACGAAAAATGAAAGGATTCTGGTGAAAGGCAGGGTAGGTCATATAATTTTGTGAGTTTTAAGTGGAAGAAAACAGCACAATATATATTAAGAAATATCTTCTTTTTGGAATAAACACAGTTGTAAATTGGTCATTAAAATAGGATTTATTACCAAAATGAAAAGATATCAAATACACATTATTATTTTACCCTACCAAGTAGAAATCCTGGCCTGGGAATATACCAATTTTTTGTATACTTATATAATTTTTTTTTAGTGCTGGGACATGGTTAAAAGGGACTGGCAATCTTTGCGATTATAATTGACATGATTGTTATGAGATTCATTGACATAAATTCAAAATGAATTTAATTTAAACTCAATTAGGTGTCAATCACTGATGATATTTTATGAATATGATTATTATCTTTGAGCTGAAAATTATCAATGTGTTCATTATTTGCAGGTACGACATTCGCAAAGGATGAATGACACACCATTGACATCATGGGCAATTGTTAGGATAGATGGTTTTGTCGAATCTGCTCACTGTAACTGTATGGCGGGATTGGGTGAAGTGTGCAGTCACATAGGTGCCTTACTCTTCTGGGTAGAAGCAACACACAGAGCAAATGCCAACTTGACTGTAACACAGAAGAAAGCATACTGGCCTGTGCCGTCTTATGTCGACAAGGTTCAGTATATAGAAGTGAAAGACATTGACTTTTCCTCAGCCGAAAAGAAGGTAAAGGACTTGAATCATTTGTTGTGTAGTGGTGAGAAGACACCCAAACAAGCAGTACAACTCCCAAAAGTAGAGGAGCCAACTTTGGAAGAGGAGCAACGTTTTTCACATGTTTTATCATTGTGCAAATCTAAGCCAGCAGTCTTGGCAGTTAAAGAGAACTTTCAGGAAAACTATATCCCTGATATTCTTAGAAAGGATAAGTTACCGATATCACTTGGGACACTTCGTGATGAAAAGTTTATGAATATGGAAAGAGAAGAACTAATCAGTGAATGTGCTCAACTTGAACAGATATTGACTGTTACTTGCGAACAGGCCACGAATGCTGAAATTATAACCAAGCAACAGTTTAAATGTAAGGAGTGGCATGCCTTCAGACATGGACGTATTACAGCATCAAATGTAAAACTTGTGTGTTCAGGTTCGGAAGACAAACCAGCTGTATCAACTGTAAAGGCTATTTGTGGGACAGGAAGTCGATTTACAAACAAAGCCATAGAATGGGGAATAGCCCATGAGCGCGAGGCACTTTTGAGGTATAGAAGAGAAGTAAGTCCACTTCATGATGATTTAAAGGTGGACAACTCTGGCCTATTTATTAGTCCTGCCCATCCACACCTAGGAGCTAGCCCGGATGGCATTGTTTCTTGTTCATGTTGTGGTGATGGACTTATTGAAATTAAGTGTCCATATTCAGTAAAGGACGGTAATGTGAAAGATTTGGAATACTTGGACACAAACATGGCATTGAAACACCAGCACAAGTATATGTACCAAGTTCAGACACAACTCCTAGTGACCTACAGATTATACTGTGACTTTGTCATTTGGACTAAGGATGAGTGTTTAATTCAAAGAATTGAGCCATTGCCTGTTATTCAGGAAAAAATAGTGAAAAAAACCACATCATACTTTAAAAATGTTATACAGCTAGAACTTACAGGAAGCTTGATCTCTAGAGAGAGAACCCTTATGCCAAACAATTCAAGTAAAACAGTAACAGAAACTAGTTCTTCACAGGCAAGTGAAATTATATGTGTCTGCCAGAAGCCATATAAAGATGGGGAGGATGTTATTGGGTGTGACAACCAGAACTGTCCCTATGTGTGGCTACATTTTAAATGTATTAACTTGACCAAAGTACCACGGGGGAAGTTTTACTGTAATGAATGTAGAAATAAACGACCAGCTAAAAAATCAAAACACTGTTAAGTATTTCAATGACTGTACATGAAATCAAAGATGACTGTCCCGAACCTTCAAGCTACCTAAATCCAGTATAACTAAATACAGACATCATGTACTTTTAAACCGTCAGCTGTAAACATGTGATTTTCTGTATATATATAGTTTATATAGAGATGTGTAATTTAATTTATTCCATTAATAATGCTAGATAGTGCAGTATCATAATTTTGATGTGCTTTTGATATGAACATGCTAGACAGTATAGATTTATATGTGACCTTTATGACATGAATATGCTAGACATTGTATTACAAAGTTGATGTGTATAACAAAACAGTGCCAATTCATATGTGCTTATGATATGATATGAATACATGTATGCTAGACATTGTATTACAAAGTTGATGTGTATAATAAGAGAGTACCAAATCATATGTGCTTATGATATGAATATGCTAGACAGTGTATTACAAAGTTGATGTATATAATATAAGACAGTGCCAATTCATATGTGATGTTTATAAATATGTGTGCTTTGTCTATGTAAATATGTTAATGCATTTCATTCACAACTTCATTTGTTGCTAATTTAAGATAACTTCACTGGTATTCCTTTGTGTATACAATAATGAGTAATGATTCAAGTTAATTAAGTTATTATTAAAATATTTTGCAATTCAATTTTATTTGTCTTTCCTTTCCGCTATTTTATTGTATTGCACTTTTTTTAATTCAATTAACGCTGACACTGAAATGGTCATATGACAAGTATCAAGCTTTACTTAAAGTCGCTTGTGGGAGTGAAGGGCAAGTGATATATTCCATATATACATATTCCTCTTATACGCTAGTGGTAACTTTTTAAAACAAAACACCATGTGTCAATAAAAGTGATAAAACTATTATGAACATTTATTTTTATTAAGAATCTTTCATTCAGTATCTGAAAAATTTACATGAAATAAACTTTTATCATGTATATGTATAAAATAGATATGAAAGTTACAACATTTTGTTATGAAACTCACAACATTTCTCTATTGATCATGCCAATAAATTTAAAGAAAGTGGATAAATATTCATTGACACAGTAATATAACAGGACCAATATAGAGTTATTATTGCCCATAATCTGACACTGTTAATTAAGGGGTACCACTGAGTCACTCATGTTAGTAAGTGCACAAGCACTGTGGCTATCTTGTCAACAACCGGAAGGCCTTCCTCGCATATTAAAAAATCAACAGGGAGTCTATCTTGCAAGATAGTATATTTGTTTCTCACAAGTCCTATAACTCTTTCTACATGAATTCGCACATGTGCTATCTTTCTAGTTGTTTCAACATCAATTGCTGAAAGTTGTGCCTTTCCCTTGGTAAATGCTGGAATGTTAACTTGAGCACAACACATGCAACGCTATCAGCAATGTCAAATCCTCGGTCTGCTAAGACAAGATCTCCTGGTAGAAGTTCCCCAAGATGCCACAATTTTTCAGTTATGTATTTGTCAACTGGCTCTTCCACCCCATGCTTTTGAGAGGAAAGATATTTGAACCCTGGGGTGTAATCCCAATTAAAAATTTTACAGTGTTAGTGTGTTTTATATGAGGACCAAGTTTGAGCTCTGGCAAAGAAGGTTTTTTGGGGCGTTGAATAAATACCTTCAAAACAGTCGATTATAACTGCTGTTTTTTGTCCGAAAGAATTTACGAAATTCTAATGGCATCGTTTGTCGAAGTTCTTCTCTTTTAGGCCAATAAAGTAAATGTTTAAACCTAACAAACAGAATGTGAATCATGGTTGTAAAGGTCCGTGAAACAGTTGATGTGGAAGTGTTGAATTGATAGGCCAGATATTGCACTGGAAAGTTTAATTTCAGTCTCATCAATGTCATTATCAATCTTTCAAATTGGCTTAGTTCTGAATTTACTCTTTGTTTTGGAATGTAGTCTTGATCACATCCGTGTTTTTTGTGCCGAGTGGCGGCTGTAAAAAGTCTCCCCGTACATTTAATCAATGATGTTATATTTTCGGTCCTTGAAGATCGTTCAGCACGACATTATTGTTGTGCTTGTTGTATTTTTAGTTTCAACTTTTTGGCATTTTCTAGTTGGGTGGTTCCAATATTCCTACTTGAATAATGTTGAATCACCCTTAGGATATGTTGCCTGCTTTTTAAATTTGTCTTTTGACGTCTTATCTGTGATACGCATGCTTCATAACCTCAGATCTCCTTTCAAAATTCCATTTAATTTAGTTCCGCCCATTGTTTTCTCGTTTAGGGCACACGCATTTTTTTACTTGGGGACCATATGCCGCTTTTCATGGAATGGCACTAACGTGTCACATTGAAGGTTCCATGATAACCGCCATATGAACACATCTGCGGATGTTTCAAAATTCTAAATTTTACCAGTTCATGTTAAATGTTGAATTCTGCTTAAGCCGGTGCTAGGGGGCGTGGACGGTAACTTGCACTTTCCAGTAACGTCCATGAACAGGCTTGGTCAAACCGAGCCTGCAACATTTTCAATTTTGCCGTGTTGGGCTTTCTTTAGGGATTCTGTATTTATCTATTTTAACAAAGTCAAAAACAGTCATCAGCATGATAAAATTTGGTAACCCAGTGTAGTATTTAACTTTCTCATCATTGTTTTCAAAGGACGATTCATTGAGTTTGACCTGGCTGTAATTCTTGTTTCAAAGCATAGTTTTCATTTAGCATTTCTTTTTCTTCCTCCCGTCGCTGAAGTTCACTGTTAACTTTGACTTTTGTGTCACTTGTCCCAGTTCATCAACACTAGTGTCATCAAATCATTGTTTGGTTTCATCAAATGTTAGTTGGCATTTGGCTCTGGGGTCTTGGTTTCAAAAAACATCTGCAGGCAATGGTGTGGCAACAAACTCTGGCTCATTTGTGCTTGATAACTCTATCAGAGACCTGGCAACTTGGTGCTTTATACGATTCTTTTCCCTTTCTTGGACTCTTTTGTACCTGAAAAAATTATTCAATAAGGTCAAAAGATGTTTTTCATTTTTTTCCATTTAACATCTACATATGGGCCATGTCATGACAAAAGCAATATAATGGGTTTGCGACCAGCAAAGATCCAGACCAGCCTGCGCATTCGTGCAGTCTGATCAGGATCCATGTTGTTCGCTTACAAACACTTTAACAAGTAGAGAAACTGATAGCATACAGCATGGATCCTGATCGGACAGCATGGATGCGCAGGCTGGTCTGGATACCTGCTGGTCGCAAACCCATTATGTTGGTTTTGTCGTGACACAGCTCAAATATACTATATCCTATATCTATAGAAATTCTATTTGAAAGACCCTGGCTATATATGATACAGGTCTGTTATTACTTTATTCAGTGTTAAACTTTTAAAAATAAAAAAAAATACATCAATAGGACAACAATATAGAAGTAACTTGTCAACAAAAGTTAGTCATCAAGTTTTTTATAGTTTGAGCAAAATATTTATTTATATATCTTGAAACATATATAGAACACATACCTTTTCATGCCAGTTGAAGCTTGCTTAGCTTTCTTGCAGGATTTAGTGGGAGTCAAAAGGTCACTCAGTTGTAATGTTGGAGCCCAGTCTGGATTTGACTTATCATATAGATCAGCTGGTTTTCCTGCAATATCATACACAATATTATTAATTTAACTAGATCTAGAACTTATCAATAACTATTGTATATAAAGTACAATAAATTGTACAGCTTGACTTTTTTCCAGTTTTTTTTATTGCAACAAACAATATGTGTATTAAGATATCATTGGGTGTGTACTGTATTTAGTCTGACAGTAGCCGTAAGCTTTCGTGGAGGGGCTTTTCTCATTACCACAATAAAATTGGGTGACAATACATGGATGCCGTGGATGCAATTAATAACGTACCGCTTATAAAATGCGCTGAACATATCCTTGTCGAAGGAGTGGGATGAGCTTTCCTGTTGATATTCGCTAGCCAAACCCTCCGTCGCTCTGTACTTAATTCTTTTGTTTGCTGCCCCTCATGCTCTCTAATTTTAGGAATATAATGAAAGCTAAGTTTAACGGAATCTCCGGCTGTATTAAAACAACCTTGAACCCAACAGGAAACTACCATTGTCAAGTTAAAAATAGAATTTCTCGCTCTGATTACTCGGCAGGAAAGCCGCTTTGTTATCCTATCAAAATGGCGGATGGTAACCGGTCGCCCGGATGTGTGACGTCATGCGGGAACTATCTATTCTTTGTTGTACATTCAAAGAGCTTACATCTAACCGCAACATTTTTGTATCTTTATCTTGAAAATTACTTTAACTGGAGAGGAATTGATATAACTATTGTTTTACTTGTTTTCCAATCCAGTCTGAATTACATTGTTGTGCAATGTTTGTAAATGTCATCTATGTACAATTTATTGAATAAATAAAGTTTAAACTAAACTAAAAGACAAAACAAAAAATGAATTTCAATTCTGTGATATAATTATTTTTCTACATGAAATTGCTTATTGTTTTATAGTGATATGTATATAAGTGCTGTACATGATTTCAAAAGCTTTAAAAAGCTAGATGACCTTAACATTGTGAAAGACCGAGAATCTATTTATAGAAGTAATTTTAGTCTAAAGGAAACGGTCGTTTATGTCGCGCCATGACAATAAATAACAAACTGCAGAATTTTGCAGGAAATGAAATGCAAACATATTCAACAATAAATTGCACTCTTTACGAATTAATCAGGTCATTTTTCACGAATTGTTATATCATAGTATTTTTATTTTGAAAGTGTCTTTTCCGTAGGAATATTTCCGGTATATAGCTCCTATCTTTTTATGGCCCTGATTGCACTTTTGACATTTAATTTCGTGAATATTTAAATTGATCCTGATTTCTTGAAAAAAAAATTCTATTTCGTTAGGCAATCGGTTTTATGGTGGTTTGAGTGGACTGTTGACCTTCCGAATACTGAGACATTTTAACAACAGAAACTTTCGTCTGCAGTTTGAACCACAGACACTTGGGGTTTGGAGCTCAAAACGCCTTTAAAATCCAAATAAAATGCATATTTGTCAATCCCAGCACATGTACTGATCATATATATATAAAAAAACTTAATATAAGCCGTTTTGAAAAAAAAATCATATTTCAACATCTATAATAATACACACACTTGGGGTTTGGAGCTCAAAACGCCTTTAAAATCCAAATAAAATGCATATTTGTCAATCCCAGCACATGTACTGATCATATATATCAAAAAGGCTTAATATAAGCTGTTTTGAAAAAAATTCATATTTCAACATCTATAATAATACACAAGATAAAAATGTTCGCCGGAAAAATCCGCACCCCTACCGTCATAATCACCGTGTATTTTATTCCATTTCCAATATTTTCACATAATCATTTGGTCCATCGACACAGAATATATAATTCTTCACGATGATGGTCAATTTAAACTTCAACGGTAATATAAACAATGCAACAGCCGAAATAAACATCAAAATTATCGCCGTTTTTCTCCATTGACTAAATCTTTCGATACATTCAAACGTGGCCCCAACTTTGCCGTGTGCAAAATGCGCAGCGCTTTTAAGTTTGGGAACCAAATAATCGGATGGCTTCGTTCATAGCCGACTGTCATGTCACATTACATTTACAAGTCTTGTAAGTCTTGTTTGTATTCAAATGAATTACTTTCCTTACCAGGTAGGTATTATTGAGAGCATTTTTTTAAATTTAACATCTGGTCCCTCTCTCATCATGGATAGTGCATAAGATAAGTATAATTATGCAAAAAAATGATTTACAAAACTTCCGGAATAATGTACAATAGTACTTAATCTGAATAGATAATGACCTTTGTGTAGGAAACATTTTAAAATGTATCTGTAATGAGCGCATTTTCTTTGCGCGAAGTTTCTCAATTGTTGCATTGCAGCAACATTTGAACTTGTATTATATATACGAGTTCCTAACTTAAAATTATCGAAGTGACATCAAACATAACTATCGTAAACACGTTACACTATAGGCGCATCAATGTAAAATGTTCACTTCAAACAGCCTTTATCTTGGGTATGTGATAAAGAGAATATTGTATTCGTGTATGTTCATTATTGAAATTTATTGAATTAATTAAATAAATTAATATTATGCTTGCGAGAGGCTCGAACAATCATATTCCAATCAACTCGTTAAATAAATTTTACTAATTCAATGCCAATTTATGTCAACATCACTGATTCTCAAACGATAACAGTCTGGTTCCCAATACCAATACCAATAAAAGCAACTAAATTCTCTTTCATTAATTGTATACCGGCAAACTGATTAAAGCTGTGTGACGAAGTTTTCTCTTTTTATACACATTAACCCGAAAGTTATTGTGATCTGATTTACCTCAAAGAAAAATAGTTGTGTAATTCCACAATAGCTGTTTGTAGCATACAGATGTCGTACATGTAAAAGGTAACAAAAACACAAACGCCTTTGGTTTGATGCACCATTAGACGGTAGTGCATATGCCGATGTCTGTTTCAAAGCGGCACGACTCTACGTCCCTCAAATGTATATCTTGTGTTTTGTTTCATGCTCATGTGGTGACACCTTTGTGTACCTTGTTTTTCCTACACATTTTTACTTATGTATGCCTATTGATTAATCGTCTTCTTAAATTTCCTTGTCGGTTTCTATGACTTCCTATTCTGATTTATATAGGTTAACAACCTAGTGATAGGGTATAAAGAAAAAAAATCCTGTATGATGCATAAACGCACATTTTACCGTTTACGGACGTTTTTTTTTGTCAATTAACTTTGTACCAGTTCTATTTTGTTTGATGTCCTACTGGGCACCTTAATTAATTTCCGGTGACCTTATATTGCTGGATCTTGCATGGGGAGGCATTCATTAAATGCCACCATTCCTTGTTGGTCTTATTTTTCATGTTACGTTAAATTTCGAAGTTTGATCGGCCGTCTTAGCATCTAGTTGTATATATACAACTAATACCAATAATTATCGCCGTTTCTGGACGGCGATATATACAATTAACAAGATTTGAACAGTCCTACCTGTACATTGCTTGTCTTTAGCCAATGAAAGCGAATTATTTAGTATCACATGATTAACAAGCAGTATCTTTAAAAAAAGATACTCGGCCGAAGTCAAACTTGTTAAATAGCATAGGATAAGCTACTACTAAGGCCATGCTAACCGCTATTCGTCCTCAATAGTTTTATTTCAGTTAATTTTATCCGCAATGTTTTCCCCCATTAATTGTCATCTTATATTTAAATAAAATTACTTACATTATTTGATCTTTATCAAAATAGACTTTGGTTTGAATAGGAATTTATAATAAAACAAAGATTAGTAGATACACTAATTCCACGGAGAATTTTGTAACTGTAAATTAGTCGAAAGTTCGTTTCAATCGTCTTATGCCCGGTTCGAGAAGAGAATATAATGACTAAAACAGGTTAGAAAAGAAACCCAATCGAACGCAAAAGTATCAAAAAGGCGATCTGTCATATTTTATTTCATATATTTATTGAAAAGCTGTTATAAACATCTAGAAAATATCATTAATTATATATATATTTATTCTGATTTATATCTTTTTCCTACACTTCTTGCCATCGCGCAATCGAACAGACCTCTACCTATAACGAAAACTCTTTTAAAGTATCAATCAAACAGGCTATTAGTGTTAAAATAAAATTCTGCCTATATTCATTTCTTTACGGTTAATTTAGCGGAGGTCAAGGGAAATCATACGGCCTTTGGCCAAAAACAAATGGACTTCAAAAAACTTCAACTAGTGATGTTTAAATGGACTCACCCAACCACCATGTTTTTCGGGTTACCTATTTGTACAAATGAAAAATATCATTATCAACGTACGAACTCAAGTACCAGTCTTTAGGTTTTTGCAGGATAAACACAGCAAATTGCAATATCTTTTGACGTATGTATGTCATTTCTGATTAGAGATGTAGTCTAAAAATAGTACATTTTGTTTTCTTTTGTTTTCTTTCCAAAACCCGCTCCTAAAGATGAAAAAAAAACAACTATGATTCTATGAGTGTTGTTATTGTATCATACCTATGATATAGCAGGTCAATTATAGTCCGTTTCAGAATAAAAACTTCGCAAAGCAGTCGACGGAGTATATAGAGTATATAACGTAAATTACGTTTACATATCAGTTTATAATGGGTAGCAAGTAACTGTTGTTATTTACGCAATAAGCTAATTCTTTTTGCTGATTGATGCATTTATTAAGTAGGTAAATGTACAACGAGTCAAGTTATTGTGCTATTTTTCTCATGGGCAATACTGAGTATCTCCACCAGAATCTAACTGTGCGCGTTAAAATATTTTGACAAGAACAGAATAGCAGAGTAAATCAAGTATTTTTGTTGGCTTTATGTGTTGACCACATACAATAAAGTATTAGTCAAGAAATGAAATATTGTTTCTATATTCATGGCTGCATGGACGGCGATTCAATGCATTTTTCGAAATGCTTATACTTGTAAAAATACACAATGAAGACATACATGTATTGTTAGATTTTCGGAAGGGCTTATAAAGGCATTCTCCTAATAAATTTTAAGGTAGACCACGATATGCATTACCTCCACCTTGAAGAGAATTCAAATAGGCTAGAATCACTTGTCAACTACAAGTACATTGAAATTGAGGGATGTGGCTTCGTAGTTCGGACTCAAGAAGGGGCAACTTGTTTTTCATTATTTATGTATCTCTCAGATCCAGTATGGAAGAAAAATATTTGATTTTAATTATATTATTATTGTAAGTAATTTATTTGCTAAATAATGCCAGATTTAATAGCAAATATGATACCAGATAGTTTCAAAATTTAATAAAAATAACAAGGCCCTGAAATCGCTCACCTGCATATAGGCTCCAATTTAAACCCCCAGGGCTTTTATTTGAACAAACTTGGTAGACACCCATTAGAAGATGTTTCATGTTAAATATCTAAGCTCTAGCTCTTTGAGTTTTTTTAAGAAAATATTTTAAGTTTTTACTACACACATATAGGGACTGACGCCCCGGTCCAATTTTTACCCAGGGGCTTTTATTTGAACAAACTTGGTAGACACTCAATTGATTGTGTTTCATTATAAGTATCTAAACTCTAGCTCTTTGGTTTTTTTAAAAGATGATTTTCTAAAAGAAAAGAAGTTTTTACTATACACATATAAAAGG